TTGCATGATGGACTGCACATTGGGGGTACTGGATCTGGATTGATGAGGTCTATTAGTGTTAACCACGTGGCGTATGTTGTGCATGTTAGACCTGTAAGCATGGGATCTGGAATACAATTGTTAGAAAAAACAAAATGCATGACCTGAGTGTCGAACCCATGTCCTTCCTCTTAATTCTAACCCCCACCTAATTCGAACCCCTGAGTCTAAATTTGAAGCTATTTTGTCCTGAAACACCATGAATCCTGAGATTCAAAGGAACCAATTTCAAATGCCCTAGCAATGGCATTTCGTGTTGTGGGAACTGAAACTCACATAAATTATGTTAAAACATTCATAAGTAATGATATGCAATCAAAAGGGATTTAAATTAAAGGTTAAACGAGTTTGAGTTCCCTAATATTTATAAAACGGATGGATTGAACGAGCGTGTTTCTGGGTGCATTTGAATTGCTTAAGGCCTGGGAATCACTCCTGGGACCTTCAGGGGGTGAATAGTGGACTTCATTTGGACTGAGGAAGCTTACTCTATACTTTTCGAATTTTACAACTTTTTTGTATTTCTTTGTGATTTTTGATATGCAATCTCCCTGTGTAGGAAATATATGTGCATTGATTGGCAATGTATGTCTTGTATTTATAGGGGTGTTGTGGTGAACGAAAATGACATGAACCAATCATTAACCATGGCTTTGAAAGCAAAATTGAAAGATTTAAAAAGTTGCCATTTTGAGATATTTTCTACCATTTTGGACTTTGAGTGAACCTGGATAGGTTTCATCCCATTAGGTGTTCGTTTCAACTTTTTACACCTTGATTCTTTCTAATGCTCCCATGCTTTGTTCTTTTCGATGGCTCTGAGTTCCAATTCGGATTGCTCAAAGATCCATCATCATGGCTTCTTCGATTAAGTCATCATCTGCATTGGTTGCCTGATCTGGAAACATCAGCCTAATTAAAAAGTTGTTACTCCTTTCGATCTCCTTTCACTCAATTCGACCAATTAAAGTATCACCACTTCCTTTTGAATGGTCGAAGCTTCGTTCTACTCCTTTCGATTTCCTTCCACTTAATTTGACCAATCGAAGTATCACCTCTTCCTTTTGACTGGTCGAAGCTTAGTTCTGCTCCTTTCCTTCGAACACAGTTGTGACTGTGTCTTCGACTCCAATCTCACCCTTTGCTTTTGTCTACAAGAATATCTTTCTTGCTCACTAGTTCATCTTCGATTGGTGAATACAACTTGTATGCACCAATCGAATGGTAACCTATGAGTACCAAGACTTCACTTCAATCATCCAACTTCTCCCTCGCCCGTCCAGGTACATGCATGTACTTTGAACCATAAGATCAAAGCTTTCGAATTCAAACTCTTCTTCTTTTTGAATCGCCAATTCAATCAACATGACAGTCGAAGTGTCTTTCCTTATAATGCTTCGAATTGGCTTATATTTCAGTGGTTCGAAAACGAACCCTTCGAAGCTCTTTACTATCTCTTCATCAATCGAAGACTTCATAAAAGCATCCTCATGCTTTCTTTAGAACTACCCTTCCTTCGATCCTAGTGCTTCGTTGGGCATCATATTAGACTGCATACTGCTGTCGAAGCTGCTTCGACCCAAAAGCTCTTAGGCGTATTCTTAGCTTTCGACCTACACCTTATCATGTACACTTATTTTCTTTCTTTCAGCTATGCCATTATGCTGAGGCGTAAAGGGTGCCATGAAAATCATTTGACGCCCTTGCAAACCAAAATTCATTGTGAGAAATGAAACCTTAGATGGAAATCCATTGCTTAGAAGGAGAATTTATCTGGTCAATTCTTGGTCAACCTTGAGCAAATAGGGACCTCGATGAGAATGTCTTGAATAGAATGGGAGGGCAAATTTTGGGGTACAATAATACTATTTAGTGGACTTGTCCCTGGATTGGTAGCCCCTAGAGTAGGTGTTGTTGTACATTGAACTGGGTTAACAATCCCTTGTATTTTTACTGTTTTTACTTTTGTTGCATTTTACATTGTCCTCAAATATTTTTAACGTGACATCTCCTTCGACATCTCATATTTGATACCATAATTTCAATTGGTATCAGAGCAGACATCCTGCCCTATATCTGGGTGAGATACAGGGAAGATACTTTCTGGTACTATGGACAAGGAAGCAGGATTTGTGAACAGACCACCCATTCTGGATGGAAGTAATTATGACTATTGGAAACCATGTATGGTGGCCTTCTTAAAGTCTCTGGACAGTAGAGCTTGGAAAGCTGTTATGAAAGGATGGAAACATCCTGTCAAATTGGGAGAAAATAGAGAACCTACTTCTAAGTTAAAACAAGAAGAAGATTGGTCTAAAGAAGAAGATGAAATTGCTCTTGGAAATTCTAAAGCCTTTAATGCTATATTCAATGGAATTGACAAGAACATTTTTAGATTAGTGAACACATGTGAATTAGTTAAAGATGCATGGGAAATTCTTCAATCTATCCATGAAGGCACATCCAAAGTTAAGATGTCAAGACTTCAGTTTCTCACCACAAAATTTAAGAATTTGGGAATGAAGGATGATGAAAGCATTAATGACTTCCATATGAACATTCTTAAAATTTCTAATGCATCCAGTGCTTTAGGAGATAAAATACCTGAAAACAAATTGGTGAGAAAGATGCTCATGTCTCTTCCCAAGCGATTTTATATGAAAGTGACTGCTATAAAAGAAGCTCAAGACTTTGACAAAATGAAAGTGGATGAACTTGTTGGATCCCTTCTGACATTTGAATTAAGCATCAATGAAAGATCTGAAAAGAAGAACAAAATCATAGCCTTTGTATCAAATACTAAAGATTAAGAGGAGGATTGTGATCTGGATACAGATGGAGGAATATCAAGTGCCTTAGCTATGCTTGGAAGACAGGTTAATAAAGTGATAAAAAGAATTGATAGGAACCAAAGATCAAATGTCAAGAACATCTCATCTGACATCCATAAGTCAAATGAGTTTGAAAGAAAAAGGGTTGAAGAAAAATCCACTAAAGGGAAGGGAATACAATGTCAAGAATGTGAAGGGTTTGGTCACATTAGAGCTGAATGCCCTACATATCTTAAGAAACAGAAGAAGAATCTATATGTTACTTGGTCTAAAGAGGACTCAGAGAGTGATCTTGAAGAATCAGCCAAGTATGTTAAAGCATTGACAGGAAAATATGCATCTGATGAAGAGTCTAGTGACGGGGAACTAAACTTTGATGAGTTAGCTGCTTCATACAAATAATTACGTTTCAGAAGTGCAGAAGTGTGCCTAGAAGGGGAGAAACAGAAAGCACTCATAACCCAAATGAAGGCAGAAAGGAAAGAGCATTTGAAAACTATTTCTAATTTGGAAAGTGAAGTGACTTTTATGAATTCAAATCTTGATAGAGTGGTAAAATATCTCAAGATGCTGAATAATGTATCTGACACATTAGATGAAATTCTTCAAGTGGGGAGAGTGATTGGAGACAAGAGTGTTCTAGGGTTTGGTGAGAAAAAGAAACCTGATTCAGAAGAACCTTTATTAGATTCCAATCATGCCAAGTCTAAACCAAGGATGTCGAATCAAATGTCTAAACATCATGGAAAGAAAGGACATCATGGCAAGAAAAAGTTTAATCACACCAGAGTGAATTCCCAGCCCTGGAGATGTCATCACTGTGGAAGGCTTGGTCATATAAGGCCTTTCTATTTCAAGTTGTATGGTTATCCTAAAACTACTCCTCTTCCCAAAACTGACCAGATTCCTCAAAATAGCAAAAAGAAGAAACTATGGGTTCCCAAGTCAAATGTTGCTAGTTTCATAGCTCATACCTCTCTCATAGTATCAACCAAAGATGACTGGTACTTTGATAGTGGTTGTTCTATACACATGACATGTGTCAAGAATCTATTGATAGATATCAAATATCATTCCACCAGTTATGTGACTTTTGGTGATGGAGCCAAAGGTGAAATCAAAGGAGTTGGCAAGTTGGAATGTTCAGGAGTCCCTACGCTTGATAATGTGTTACTTGTTAAAGGGTTAACAACTAACCTGATAAGTATAAGCCAATTGTGTGATCAAGGATTCAAAGTTAACTTCACTAAGTAAGAATGTCTTGTGCGCAATGAAAAGAATGAAGTTATTATGAAAGGAATTAGATCTAAAGACAACTATTATTTATGGGTTCCCCGAGAGTTGAACTTCTCCTTAACATGTGTTTTAGCAAAAGACAATGAAGTTAAGCTATGGCATCAAAAACTGGGACACTTGCATCTGAAAGGAATGAAAAGAATTATATCTGAAGAAGTTGTGAGAGGGATTCCTAAGTTCATGATAGAAGAAGGAAGAGTATATGGTGACTGCCAGATTGGAAAGTAAACTAAGATATCACGTCAGAAGATCCAACATCTTACTACATCAAAAGTTTTGGAACTTCTTAACATGGACTTAATGGGACCTATGCAGGTTGAAAGTATTAGTGGAAAGAAGTATTCCTATGTTATTCTAGATGACTTCTCTAGGTACACAAGGATAAGCTTTATTAGAGGAAAATTAGAAACTTTTAAAGTGTTTAAAGATCTCTGTCAAAACCTTCAAAGGGAAAAAGATAGTCATGTCATTAGAATCAGAAGTGATCATGGAAAGGAATTTGAGAAAAATAAATTTGTTAACTTTTTCTCTTCTGAAGGAATCAATCATGAATTCTCTTCTCCCATTACTCCTAAACACAATGGGATTGTGGAAGGTAAAAATAGAACCCTTCAAGAATCTTCCAGAGCTATAATTCATGCTAAGAAGTTACCCTAACACTTTTAGGCTAAAGATATGAATACTGCATGCTATATCCATAATAGAGTCACTCTAAGGAAAGGCACTTCAGCCACCCTGTATGAAATATGGAGGGGAAGAAAACCAATTGTCAAATAATTTCATGTTTTTGGAAGTAAATGTTACATCTTAGCTGATCGTGAACAAAGGAGGAAGATGGATCCCAAGAGTGATGAAGGAATATTCCTGGGTTACTCTATAAATAGCAGAGCTTACAGAGTCTTTAAATCCAGAACCAAAGTTATGACGGAGTCTATAAATGTTATTACTGATGATAGAGGATGGAATAATGAAGAAGATGTATTAGAATATGTTGGAACATCCTTGTCTGATATTCCAACAGAATCAAATGAAAGAAGTATTGATTCTAATCCACCTCAAGAAGATCCCGAGCCTAGTCATCTCAATAAAGGGCCTTCAATTAGAACCCAGAGAGATCATCCTAAGGAGCTTATCATAGGAGATATAAATAAAGGAGTTACTACCAGATCAAGAGAAGGGATATCAAACTTTTGCTTTGTGTCAAAAATTGAGCCTAATAATGTCAAATAGGCCCTAACTGATGAGTTCTGGATTAATGCTATGTAGGGGTGGTCACTAGAAATAAGGCAAGGTTAGTTGCACAGGGATACACTCAAATTGAAGGAGTTGAAATTGATGAAACCTATGCTCTTGTAGCCAGACTTGAATCAGCCAGACTACTCTTGGGAATTGCATGCATACTGAAATTTAAATTGTTTCAAATGGATATAAATAGTGCATTCTTAAATGGATATCTGAACGAAGAAGTTTATGTGGAACAACCTAAGGGATTTGTTGATCCAAGTTTTCCTAAACATGTGTACAAACTAAAGAAAGCTTTGTATGGATTAAAGGAGGCTCCAAGAGCTTGGTATGAGAGATTGACAGAATTTCTTGGTGAGAATGGATATAGGAAAGTGGCATAGACAAAACCCTTTTTGTCAAGGAAGAAGAAGGGAAGATCATGATTGCATAGATTTATGTTGATGATATTGTGTTTGGTGGGTGTGATACGGTGGAAGAACTGACTGTTTTTGGAATGCTGGTTTGCGTTTTGCGTTTGTGTTTGCAAAATGTCGCGGTAAGCAAGAGTCGCCACCGACTTTTATTTTATCCAACAAGGAAAGGAAAAAAGCACAGAAAAATTCCTTTTTTGAGATATTTCTGAGTACGGGGGGGGGGGGGGGGGGGGTAGATTATAGAAAGGGAAGGTATTATCACCCTTTCTATCCGTAGTTATCTACGGGCTCTTAGGTACTTTCTCATTGTTTTTAAAATTGTTTTCTTTGTGTTTGTGGGTTTTGAAAAGTTTTTGTTTTAGCTTCGATTTAACTCTTGCGTCTATCTTCAAGAGTGTAATGAAGTGTTTTTCAAAACTTGTTTGTAAAAGGAGTGTAAGTGTGAAAAAGTTTTGTTTTGGGTGAGCAAGTATCTATGAACTAATCTACCTACTCGAAAAAGGAATCGTTCTATGTTTGTTTCCTTTAGACAGCGCTATCCCACTATTAGTGAGTAGGTAGCACCGTCGTTAGAGTTTGAGGGTCAATTCGAAAAGGGACATACAATCACTAAAGCAATGTTAGGACGTCTTAGTAATAACCCTAATGTCTTAGATCAATTATCCGAGGCAACAATATCTGAGGCAACCTTTCTGAGGCAACTTTGATCTTTGGACAAAAGGACGACCACTAAAGCATCCTATACTCAATGACCGTTTACGAAGGAAACCAAGTGGGCTGTACCCTAGGAGTGCGCATGTGCGAGTGTGTTGATTTCAGTTATTTTTATCTTTGCACATGTTTAGGGTGATCTAACTGTTTTAAAATTAGACATTCATTCTTGTCATGCAAACCCTATTATCAAACATTTAACAGTTGAATATTTGCAGAAATTAAAGATGCGGAATTTAAACTAAATTATTACAAGGCGTCGGGTATTTACATTGCCAAAGACAAACCCTTTGAAAATAAAATAAAAACGGTAAAAGTAAATGTCCTAATTAAATTATTACAAGCCGTGAGCAGATACAATATTTGGATAAAATAATAAAAAGCGCGATGCAAAATTAAATCGTATGCGAAATTAGAGTTTTGACCCGCTTAAAAGAAAATGTTTTTGTTGCTTTTATTTTTAAGAAAAGAAATTAAATCCTAAAATTAAATGCTAAATTAATTAATGAAAAATGTTAAATGACATATTTTTTTGGATTTTTGATTATTTAGGAAAGAAATTAAAATAATTAAATTAGGGTTAAGACCTATTAATTCTAATTAGTTTTAAATATTTGAAAAATAAATTAAAATTACCTAATTAATCTACCTAATTAAATTAATTAATATTTATTAATGAAAAATAAAGTTCTGAAATTTAATTGGGTAAAAATATTTTTTGGTGATTTTTTTGATAAAAAAGAAAATTATTTTATTGGTTAGTAATTAAGTAAACAATTTAAATAAAATAAAATGAATAATGAATAAAAGACATGATGAGAGAAAATGGGCCTGATTGGAGTGTGTAGAAAGCAAGAAATCTGGCCCAATTGAGGAGAGGTCCATTTGACTTTTGCCAATCCTGTGTATTGCGTTTGACTGGCCTTTTGGTGTACCCTTAGTGTTAGCCACCAGATCTGGCCATCTGGCACGTCTGATGCTGAAGTTATATGGTGGACATTAGGCTTGAGCGTGCATATGATTACCTAAAAACAAATATTATAGAGAAAATAGGGGGACCTGGGATTCGAACCCAGATCCTGAGGGGAATTCCATGCCACGCTTGCCACTACGCCACTTGCTTCTTTTTGTTAATATAATATAAACTAAATATAATATATAAATTAAAAGAAAATTGGAAAAATTAAATAAAAACGCGCGCTCGTTTGAATGGACGAATGGTGGGACGACACGCCTTCATCCCTGTTCTTGAATTGTAGCTAAAAACAGCAACACTTATACCCACGGACAAATGTCCGTCACTACAAACAGGGTTTCATCCAAAATCTCCTATAGGCCATGGAAATGATTTCTAAGACCATGGTTAAGGTCGTCTCAACCTCCTGATTGCAACCATGCCCATTATGAAGGCTAATTATTCCTGAAACAAAAATCCCTAAAACCAAATATGAAACCCTAACAATGGTGGATTTCATTACAGACCATTAAAATGCAATTGGGTAATGTTAAAAGCTTGCAAATGATTCATAGGTTAAGAATATGCAATTGATTCAGGTTAACAATGCATAAATTACAAAATATGAATTCAAGAACAGGGGTGTAACGCGAAGGACTTACAACGCGTGGGAGGGCTTGAAAACGTGTGGTTTTGCTTGCTTTAGGTTCCTGAGATTGCCATGAAGAGATTGAGACAAGTACCAAGCCTTGAGGACGCCTCTAACTTCTGTTTCGATCTCACACTTTTCTTTGTATTTTCAGATTTTTGTTCTTGCTCTACGCTTGACCTCTAACCCTTATTTTGATCTCCTCCGCCTCCTTTATGTATCACACAATGCATTAGGGTTGTTTATTCAGTCCAAATCTCCTTCTTTCAATGACTTTGATATGGATTTGATTTGCTTTGAACAACTTTCCAAACATGGCTTATTTCCAATATTTTTGTACACATATGGCTTGATGCGAATTTGAATGCCTTACTAGCTGTGATTAGAGCCTGAAACAATCAAAAGATCCTTTGTTATCAATGCTTTGGATTTTTATTTGATTTATTTTGATTTAATTTGAATTAATTCAAATAAAAACCAAAATAAATTATAACAATAAAATATGGACAAGTGGAAAAGGCTAGAACACGTGGGCTATAATGCTAACTCAAAACAAGTGAAAAAGAATGGGCCCATTTGGCAAAATTTGATGTTTTGGGGATAGTTGACTTTTGGCAATTTTGCAAAAAGGGTCAACTTCAAAAATGCATAACATCCTCAATTTTGACTCTTTGGAGGTTTTCTTGGACTTTTTAGAAATCTTGAGATGTCCTATAACCAACCCTTTTGGTCTCATATCAATTTGATATTCCATGCTCATGTATGAAGCTTTGACAAAAAAGGTGTTTTTGTTGACTTTTCAAAAATGACCTATAATGTCCAAATTCATAACTTCTTGTGAGTGCATATTTTGATCTTGGGAGCTGGAGATGGATTGAAGGAAACTGCATCCTATTCAAAATGAGCTTTGTATGGGTCATTTCTCATAAAGTATGAGAAAGTTATGCTTGGTCAAAGTTGAGTTGACTTTTCCTACAAAACCCTAATTTAGCAACTTTTGAGTCTTGATGAATTATGAGCAATCATTGATGAATCATGATCAACCCTTGATCAAATGATGAAATATACTTAAAAATGAGAATTTTGACAAAAAATCTTGAAGTTTGACTGTATGTGGGTCACAATTGACTTTTGCCCTAGCACAGTCGATTTTTGGACCTTTGAGCAATTTGACTGAGCAAACTTCTTCTGCAAGGCTTGAAATTTGACATGGATGATCTTGAGAACATATTAGGACATTGGTGAGCACTTGGGATCACTTGGAATCGAGGATCTTGATGCAACATGAAACCCTAATTTGGGGTAGACTGCCTTAGGGGAGAGCTTGTCTGGCCAACCCTAGTACTACCTTGAGCAATTTGGAGATCATTCTTGAAATGTTTTGAGAAACATGGGAGGGCAAATTTTGGGGTACAACAGCTGCCCCTGTTCAATCTTCTTAAACCTGAGGATGTAGATTGGCTTTCGTGCCTTTCGTAATCTGAAGGTGGAAGATGATTGAACACTAGAGTGCCCAGAAATTTGCACTAGCATGAAGTGGTAGTTGCCTTGTGATGTCGGGAATGGGATTACAGATGCCATTTGGAGATTGCTGACGGGAGATGGGCTTAAAGATGCCATCCGAAGGAGTGTCGATCACATAAGAGATTCCTTAGTGAGAGCTTGCATACCTGTTGTTGTGGAAGATTCCGCTGCGGAAGTATGATCTCTATTGAGAGAAGTAGAATTTTAGGAGCTTTGGTTGTTGTTATTCTGCTGGTGTGTCGTCTCTGTTGATATTTAGGAACTCTGGTTGTCTGTACTCAACGAAGGAGTCATCTCTGTTGATATTTAGGAACTTCGATCATTCGTACTCAACAGAGGAAACATTTTTGCTGAGATTTAGGAACTCGTCCGTAATTCAACTGAGGTGTCGAGATTTAGGAACTCGTCCGTAATTCAACTGAGGTGTCTAGATTTAGGAACTCGTCCGTAATTCAATCGAGGTGTCGAGATTTAGGAACTCGTTCGTAATTCAACTGAGGTGTCTATATTTAGGAACTCGTCCGTAATTCAACTGAGGTGCCGAGATTTAGGAACTCGTCCGTAATTCAACTGAGGTGTCGAGATTTAGGAACTTGTCTGTAATTCAACTGAGGTGTCGAGATTTAGGAACTCGTCCGTAATTCAACTGAGGTGTCGAGATTTAGGAACTCGTCCGTAATTCAACTGAGGTGTCGAGATTTAGGAACCCGTCCGTAATTCAACTGAGGTGTCGAGATTTAGGAATTCGTCCGTAATTCAACTGAGGTGTCGAGATTCAGGAACTCGTCCGTAATTCAACTGAGGTTTTGAGATTCAAGAGCTCGTCCGTAATTCAACTGAGGTGTCGAGATTTAGGAACTCGTTCGTAATTCAACTGAGGTGTCGAGATTTAGGAACTCGTCCGTAATTCAACTGAGGTGTCGAGATTTAGAAACTCGTCCATAATTCAACTGAGAAAACATCTCTGCTGAGATTTAGGAACTCGCCCGTAATTCAACTGAGAAAACATCTCTACTGAGATTTAGAAACTCGTCTGTAATTCAACTGAGGAACATCTTTGTCGAGATTTAGGAACTTGCCCGTAATTCCACTGAGGAAGCATATCTGCTGAGATTTAGGAACCCGTCC